GCATTTTTTCGCGCGCGCGAAACTGCCGAATATACAGCAATTCCGCCGCATTTTGCGAACGCTCACAGAGGGGACCTGCACGTGCTGAAGGATTACCGCTGCTGCATTTTTTCGCGCGCGCGAAACTGCCGAACTTACAGCAATTCCGCCGCATTTTGCGAACGCTCACAGAGGGGACCTGCACGTGCTGAAGAATTACCGCTGCTGTTTGCAAAGAAGCTGAGGGAGGCAGACACATACATACCTAATCTCAACCACAGCGGTGCGCCTGCGACACACCAGATCTCAACTCCAGCGATGCTGCTGCGATATCGTACTCATTTTACACGCACGTGCTCACGAACGTACTCTGCTGTACACTCAGAATGTTGCCGAAGGGACCCTCGGTGATTGAGTTGACGGCCTATACTGTACGTAAGTCAAAAAAAGATTGGAATTCCTGATTGGTCGATGAAGTTGAGCCGTGCGGAGACAGCGTTGAGCTCGTGTGAGACAGCGCTGGCACGCTGCCGCTCGGCCTCGCGTAGAGGTCAGGGCGCGCGGGAAAATTCGGCACCGCGCAGGGCTGCGGACAGACGAAAAAGTCCGAGCGAAAAGCGTCCCTAAAGGCTCGAAGCCGTCGAAAAAGTGCTCTCGGCGCACGAGAGAGCAGCATTCAAATCACTAAGTTTTAGAGTCAAGATCTACGGAGATTTAGCTTAGCTAAAAATACTTACCTCTATGGACTGCCACAGGCTCATGATGTCAGAATATAGCGGGATTAGCGAGCAGTATTTGATAAGGAGTACATCGCAGATGACAATATCGCTTTCAGCCGACACGGGTTAGCGTGCAGTAATTGTACAGCTGCAACAACGGAACAGAAATAACGATTGGCTTACCGTCGCGGCCCTGAGCGTTCTTTCCCGAAAGCATCCCGACAGACGGAGTTCCACCAACGGTGGCAAGGCACACCTCACAGATGGCAGGATCGGAACCGCGCACGGTTAGTATCGTGCAGGACACCTGGCAGGTCTCGGAGTTTTGGGAGTCCTTCTCGTCACCCGGCCCGAAGATGCCGCCCTTTTTCTTGGGAACCTCCTTGAGGTGTCCGGCGCCGCAGTAGGTGCTGGGGCATGGCCAAGAAGGGTTGCCCGCCAGAAACTTTCGCTCCGAGGATGAGGAGGAGAATTTGGCTTTCTTAGCCGGAGACCCAGAGAACATTATTACTACACCTCGTGTTGCGAACTGTTGTTTGCAGCGGAGGTCAAAGGAAGTGGTCGTCGGGGGGTGGGTGCGCGACCCCCCGGGCATGCTACGCTCGACTGCACGAAAAAGAGCGTCTCCTCGCAAGGAAGGGTCGGAACCCGCGTCTAGCAATTAGTACTGGTGACGTCACCGGAAACTTGCGCTGACGACTTCAAACGGACGCAACTCCGCCGCGACGTCTAAGATCGAGGCCTTAGGTGGCGCATCGAACCCCAAACCTCCCCAAGATGAGACACACCAAACGAGAGCTGCGCATATCATAACGTTGCTGAGCGCAAAGAAATGTGTACGTTTCCAGCCCCCCCTCTGAAGAATGTTATTAAGGACGACCCGATTCGCAGGGTATCTGTCGATTGACTTTTTTTCCCTGAATCGGTACACCTTCGCATATGGCATCAGCGGCAGGATACTGGTTCGAATCTCCTCGAGTGCACACTTTTTCTTCTGACTTGGATATTTTCCCATGGACACAATGTGTGTCAGTCCTGAGAACTCCTCTGGTAGTCGATCCCACAAAGAACCTTGTGACACTTCCATCGAATTACCCATCCTGGCCACAAGAGGTTCCCAGTTGAGGTTAAATTCTGCGGGTGGAGAGTGTTAACGAGGACCCGATTCGCAGGGTATCTGTCGATTGACTTTTACCTGAATCGGTACACCTTCGCAAGAACCGAAAAGACTGTCTTGTTAAATAAACGGGCGACCCCCGCAATACAGCTTTTCGCAGCCATAGCTCAGCGCTCCGGGCGAATCTCGAGGCCGTAGGCGGCGCGCTGTGTAGGGTGAACTCAGCAGAACACACAACGGCTTTGATTTGCTGTGAAAGCATTTGCGTGAGGAGCTTAAGGTGGATCCCCTTGTACGTGAAGATCCGAATAGGTAATATTAGTCTAGGTATGTCTACTATTATTTTCATTATATTGGCGAGTTTCGGAAATGCGTTTTGAAAAGTTCACTTTCACTTTTTCGGGAAAAGAGCCAGTTTATGGCCGCCCAAAAAATGAACTTTAAACTTTATTTTAACTTTCGACCCCAGGAAGATTTTTTAGCACGAAGGCCAGCTGGCATCTGTGAAAGCTGAACATTTCCGTTCCTGTTCAAAGTTCATTTTCTATGAAAGGGAACTTAGCAGGGCAGCAGTAGTAGCACAGAAGCACCGCACAGACAGACCGCACCAGACCACACCTGGCATGATTCGAATTTGCAGTTGTACGGCCGCCATCTGGTTCGCTTCGCCTCCCTCGAGATCGCTGCTGCTGCTGCTGCTGCTGCTGCTGCTACGATCGCGCGCACAACTCGCAACTCAACTTTGTCCATGTGTACACACAATCGCACGAGAACAAGAAGAAGACACGCCCGGCCGCCGCATCCCATCAACTTAGTTAGGCTCAACANNNTAGTACGGATAGGTGACTGGTTTGATCCGCATTTCAAAAATCAAAAATCGCGCGCGCCCTCCTGTTGAGTGAGACACACATATTGCACATCCACATCATCTGCCACGCACCATGGGTTTCGTTACACCCCCCCGGTTGCTACCATCTGCTATCTTATTAGCATGCAGCAGTGTTGTTCGGCCATCATGCGCAGCTGTGAAAAAATAACCAAGAGCGTCTCAAAGCTTTGCGCATGTCTCCGCGCCCTTTTTTTTTTTTCCGGCGCTTTGTCATGTTTGACGCAGGGCTCAAGTTTCAATGCTGGCAGGTTAGAGGTCGCAAGGAAACGG